TTATTAAACCACATTTGAGGAGCTTTCCGGAAAAAGGGCACATACCGAAAAAACAAGTTGTGATAAAAACGCATTTGAAGTTTTCATTCCTACTCTCTGGGCACTGATGATGACATACATCGGAACTGGGGCACTCATATCAACGTTAATACACCCTAGAATGAATAACGACCATTGGTAAAACTTACACTTCTTTCAGTGTTGTGGGAGGATTTTTTTAAAATTTTCCGTCATGTGCCCTTTTTCCGGAAATGGACCGGTGGTTATAGGTTTTGGCTTTTAAAGCTAAATTTTCAAGACTTTAACGAGTTTCTAAACGAAAATAAATCATAATTTCGATCGCGAACGTGCTAGTGGATCATTTTCGATCATAGTTAATAAAAAAGACAGCAAAACACGCGAAAATATCGAAAAATTAAAACCCACAAGAGACCATGAAAAATGGAATTTTAATAATTACAGAATTTCACGTGTCACCGGTAAAACGCGTAGACAATCACCGCAACCCGATTACATTGCATTGATTAGTAGAATCAGTGCGATGCATCTGTAATGAGGGATCCTTACTTATATCAGTACCCATCACCTGCCTGCCTGCGCCCTGCGCGCTATCTCCTCAACGTCGCGTCGCGGCGACCGTACCCAGGGGCGAAAAGATGAAATACGCCTGACTTAGCCTCACAAAATTTGGTCTCTTAGCTCCAAAAATTGATCAATTAAGCTGAAACTCGGGACATTGGTACATTAGGATGCGAAGAATCTGTTTCTGCCATTTCCGGAAAAGAGCACATACGCGTATATGTGCCCCTTTTCCGGGATGCTCCTCAATTCTAGCTGGAGCGCAATTCAGCTATGCATTGATGACTGCAAAAATGTGAACGGAAATCGAAAAGGTCAGCGTGCATGAAGGCAATTACGTCACATTCTTACGGCGCAATGATACAACTATTTGAACTCTCCGGAATGCGTGAGGTATCACGCCTCATTTGAAGGCGTTTTCAAAACAGCCAAGTTCCGATACCCGGATTATCGTTTTGCATAGTTCATATTATTTTGTTATATTCCGTACCACTTGTTTATTCTTAAGCCTCGTATAAAAACCACCCATTTCCTAAATACAATTCTAGCTGGAGCGCACTGAAGCCATGCAATCACAACTGCAAAAATGTCACAGGAAATCGAAACGGCCAGCGTGCATGAAGGCTATTTCAATTGTAATATTCAGTCACATTCTTACGGCGCAATGATACAACTATTTGAACTCTCCGGAATGCGTGAGGTATCACGTCGCATTTGAAGGCGTTTACAAAACTGCCAAGTTCCGATACCCGGATTATCGTTTTGCATATAGTTCATATTATTTTCTTATATTCCGTACCACTTGTTTATTTTTAATCCTCGTATAAAAACCACCCATTTGCTAAATACGATTATTTTATGTTTGTTCTTCCATACTTTTTTAGTTCATTTCTTATAAATGGAGGACCTTGTCCACACAGAGATAGGTTTTCGGAACTTAACTTTTGCGCAAAGTTCTGTGAACTTTTGCTAGGAGTGTTGACAGGGCTTTCGCAAAAAGTGTGTCCAATACGAGTATACGCGTCTTATGCACCACTCCCCCTCCGTTCACTTGATGGTTTTTATCGATGTTTCAAAACGAATGAGAAGGGGGCGGCAAAATACAGGCGGCCCATGGGCGGCAAGTAGGTAAATCCGGCCCTGGCTTTTGATGTTTCTAAATTGTGTATGACTCCTCTCATTAACTCACTCCATGTAATACATCGGATGATTCTCGGGAATATGAAGAATCGTTAAATTGAATCAAGTTCTTCACGTTTTCTCAGAGTGTAAAATTTGGCGGTTACACTTTTTTTACCGTTCAATTGCACTCTTAACAATTCTAAAGCAAAGAAAAAACATGACCTTTTCCAATGGAAAATTTTTATTTTCGATGCTGAAATAATGCCTTTAGAAATACCGACCCATGATATGATTCACTCTGGCATTCCATAGTTTCCTCCACCTTGGACTTATCAATCAGTAATTCCATCATTTGTACTGGTTGCTCCGTGTAAATTACCTACTGACAAGCCTGAAGATGGAAGAAACGATAGAATACACCATCACAGATGAACTCATTGAAGAAATAGAAAGGTTTTTCCGAGGGATGTTCGTTCCATTGATTTTGAAAACAAAAACCTATATTCTTTGCACTGATCTGATCATTTTTTCCGAACTTTTCTCGAAGCGTTCCTCAACACGACCTGAAACACAATTCTGTAGTATGCTACCGTACTAAGCAAGAAAGTCGTAAATCCATCAAGATTTTCCCTCGTTTTTTGGAACTTCACACTTTATATAAAATAAAACTTGTTTCACCCATGCACCTCAAATTTTCAGGTTAAGTTCTTGATGGTATTTCCGGAAGAATTCTGTAAAAACGTTGTCCCAAGGTACACAAGTTTTTCTGCTATGATACATTGTTTCCAAAAAATGTAAAATGACGTTTACGGCGTGCTTGCGTTTTACAGCAGAATGTGCAAACGGTCGATTACAAGAGGGCTTTAGTTTTAAATTCTATCAGAACAATACGAAAAGAATTAAAACAGCGCTTGGAGACCTTAACGGTAGCATTTTATTTGTTGCAACATTTGACATTATTGAGGGTGGGCATTCGTATGAGATAGCTATTCGACCACGGGCGATGCCCGTATTGCCGCTGGCTGAAGTTGAAGGCGCGTCAGCCGTCATTTTCTCCAAATTCCGGAGGTAAGCGAGGGCACTTGATTACACCTGTAGCAGTAAAGCCAGGATTTCCTCCGAATGCTTATCGGCGCAGGTTATTATGCCGATGCTAATTACCATAATTATTATTTGAGACCGTGTTAAAATACGAGCGTCAGGCGTCGACACCGCCGAAGGAGGAAAATTGGCATCAGGCTCTGACGACCCGCGCGCCGCGCCGAGATGCCGAGAAGCATTTGGTGGGAATCGCCAGCTTGACGCGCCTTCAATTTTAGCTAGCGGCAATATGGGCATCATCCGTGGTCAAATAGTTGTCTCACAAACGCCTTCCTTAAAAGATGAAAAATTTCGATAGCTACATGCAAGAAAAAGAAGTCCATTTATCTCCAATTGAAACGATGCACACCTCGTCACCTTTTGGCCAGAGTATCACAAGCGCCATGCGATGTTTAAAAATTTCCGCCGCCATTTTATTTTAAAACAAATAAATTGTTAGTTGAATCTGTTTGAAAATTTCACTGAATTTTATTGGCAGCACAAAGAAAATTCAGAGAAATTTTCGGACAACTTTGTTGAACAACTTCTTTGTAAAAAAAATAAAATGGAGGCGGAAATTTTTAAACGTTGCATGACGCTTGTGATACCTTAGCCGGAGGGTGACGACCTCCACTCGTTCAGTATTTGTATTTCATTTTCATTAAAAATATAAACGACAGTATTTCTTATCAAAGTTGTCTGCGGTTCATTTCAAACATAATCACAGCAAATTTAAACCGGGAATTTTTCTTTTATGCCTATTATAGAGGAAGCACTATTGTTTCCGACCTTGGAAGGTATCTGCTCCAGAAAGTGCACTTAATCAGTGATATTTTTTTTTTGGGGGGGGGGGGATCACTTCGAAGGTGATTCTAATTTGTGATTACATGCTCTTCACTTTTGTATCGATGCATTCCCTGGTAAAAATCGTCAGTAGAATCCGTGCTCCAAAATACCATAGACCTAAAGCCGCGGCTGTTAGATTTTCAATAGCTTCTAAAGCCGGCCGCACAATTTCTTATAGCCTTTTATAGCCGATGGTGATTAAGCAACAGCCAGGCGATAAAGTGTATGCTAAATGTTACTAATTACGGATGCTAGGACTTAGTGAGTTTTTGGACTATCGCTCTATTTCTGGGCCGTAGTATCTTGATTTATTTTGCGCGGAAAGTTCCGTACTTTTGAAGGATGCCTGCCATTCCTAATATGATGGAACGCCTTCCATTTCGTATGATACTGTGCAATACTTCTGGTGTGAAATAGTTGCTTCAAGCGCCGTGGCACGCTGCGGCGGGCGGGCAGCCAGCGCGAAAGGCGCATTAGCGCCTACAAACCTAACAGGGATACTTCACGCATTGCGCTATGCGTGAAGTATCCCAGTTAGGTTTGTAGGCGCTGGTGCGCGCTTATCGCTGGCAGCACGCCGCTCCGCTCTTATGTTCCAATGTAATCTTGCGGAGTCGGCTCATGATTTTGAAATGTTTGCACATCCTGTGAGGATTATTCTCATTTTAATTGATGAAAAAAAAATATGTATTAAAGGAAAATATAATGTGCGTTTTGTAAATATTATGGTGGTTCTGTATCAAACTTAATGATTTCCAAAGCACACGAATTTCTACACAATTTTTTACAGCCTTTTATAGCCGATGGCGATAAAGTGTAAAGCCCGGCGATAGGAACTATAGCCCGGCTGTATACTTTTTTATCGCTTCGTATAGCCCGGCTATATGATTTGCTCCGCTTTCTACAGCCAGAAGCTATTGCCTTCTTTAGCCGGCTATGAGAATTCCTATGGTATTTTGAAACGCAGCTCCTTTTGCCAATTTTTACCAGGGTTTATTTGCTACGACGCACTGTTATTGCATTAAAAGACATTTTCAATCGCAGGAACGTTTTTCCAATTGTAAAAATAACTGACAACACGAGATTCTTCTATGAAGGGAAAACAATCGCTAGCACGTGTTCTAAAAATGGTCTGATGGGTTTAAATCCTTGGATTTTTTACAACACCTACCCTTGGGAAACCAGGGAGCAAAGCTTTTCCCACTTTTTCCCGCCTTTCTAGTCAACGAGAGCTCCACCAATCGCGTGATCGTGTGACTCAGGCCTACATGCGATTAAGCTACGTCATGGTTCCTCCTCATAGGTTGATCATCCACCAATGGCTGCCGAATGGAAATTGCCCTCTCCCTCTCTGCAACCGTGGTCTTTAAATTTTTGCGTTGTTTTTGCTAGGTTAAGTTCTGTAACTCACTGATTGTTTATTTTTATAAAGTTTTTTATTCTTATCAGTTTTTCGCCGCAATCGTAAGATTTTAGCTGTAAAAGCATCTACGCAGTTTACATTACCATGCTCGTTTATCACCTTGGCGAGTAACATTCCTCGGAAGTTGCGTGTAGTTCTAGAATGGTGTCAATAGTCCAAACATACATGGTAAGTTATTTGCCAAAGTTCTTGGAGTATAACTCTTTCTAATCTTTTATTACTCTTCATAATTGAATTTAAACTTGGTCCAGCACTATTAAATTCAAATAGAGATAATCAGGAATCCGAACACAATGTATTGCAGCAACACCCCTTCAGGACACGCGCCCATGAAAGTGTGAACGATGAAGAATCTGACACAATTTGCTTTACCACTCATATGGCTGTTATTTTTATATTTTCTCATTTCATTCTTGAGCATTTCACAGTATTACAGCGAAAAATTGAAACTTCTCCAACTTTTACTGTGAGTGGCAGATTCACCTTGAACACTGAGATAGATCAGCGTATATCTGTCTCACCCTTGTCATCAAAAATACAGTTGTCTCAAACAATAGTGCTTTATCATGCGAAAATTAAGACCCTTTTCATCAAACATTATGATTCAGTTTGATAGTTTTGTCGAATTAGGCTGAAGAGAATATACACCTATGAATTTGGAGTAGAGTTTGCGAGAAATTTCTTCGCCATGTTGAGCGGGCTGCCAGAAATCTTTTGGCTTCATTGCAGAATTGAACTTGGTTCCAGATCTGTGAGTTATCTTCTCTCCAATTGTAAGTTGTAGAAGTTTGCTGGGGAATTTTGTGCGAACTAAAGGATTCCGATCATAATTCCATTCAGACCTTGATACTTCCGATCATCATAGACCATTTTATGACTGTTGGTCACCATGCCGCATTCTTATTCGATTGGAACGAAGTGCCACCAATCATCATTTCTTGCTGCATGAAACATTTTTACCTATCTACCAAGTTTTTATTTTAATAATGGACCGATGACTCCCGATATTTGTATGAGAATTGGTACTGGAATTTGATTGTCTGTCAAGGTCTTACTCATCTGTTTGTAATTGATGTCGAAGAATTTTTTTCCAGGACATGTCGTAAAGTCTAGGTAGTGTTACCATAGGTTTCTGTGGTCCTATTTCACTCTTCATGAGTGTTCATGGTTACTCTCCTGCCTTAACTGCTCAAAATCCGTAGCAGTACTCAAAGTCACCTAGATCATCTGTTACAGAAGTGAAATGATGCCAAATCATCAAAGCAATATGTTATACTTACAATAAAATCACTAATATATTTATGTAATTTTCTCATTATCTTCCTGTTTGATTCTGTGTTTCAGGAGATAGAAGGTTTTCGATCTTATCTTGACGAACTTTACTCACCAGATCCTGAAAAATGCCTCTCAGCTGTCCTGTGAGTTAACTTGCACCTACAAATATTTGAAATCTAGGAGAAAAAGTTACCTTATCTATAACTCTGGCAATCTGTATCATCTGAATCATCATCGCCAACATGAGAATCTGTTCGATGAATGGCCACAATGGGTCAGATCTGACTAGTGACAGAATAGTGTTTTGATGGCTAGAGCTTATAAATTAGCAGAAAGTACAGCGGTCCATTCAAACGCCAAGTTTCTACATCCAGTGTCAATGGAGATTTCGATCATTAAAAAATATGGTGTATGATGTTATTCATCATGGTAGTGCATACCATGGTTTCATATTTGACATAAAAAGTTAGCATTTGAACTGATCGGATACAAGTTTGCTGATCTATACCATTAAACCATCAAAACCTGATCCTGTGGCTAGCGCAACTGACCCATTGTGAGAAATATTACTTAGTTTTGAGGTCTATGCTCATTAAAGCTGTTTTGCATTACATTAGAGCAAGACCTTGATTTTCTAGTTCAACTAAGCTGTTGCCCGTACTTTATTCAAAAATAATTGAAAAATAATCAAGTCGTGATGGTTATGTTATGAATGGAGTGTTGCATCTATATTATGGGAAATTAGTCAAAATCAAAGTAAAATTTACCGTATATTGTCTGAAATAAACGAATTTTTTAAATGCCCTTAAAATATTTTAGAAGTACAGAATTTTATGCAGCAATATACTGTAATTTTAATTTTGACTCCCTTCATAATCTTCTAAAGTCAATTAGTATCTGAAATTTTAATCACCTGTACAGTAGAGCCTTTAGCAATTAAGTCCCGCCCTTTTAAAATCTCAATCATTGAAACAAACTTATACCATCCTTTTTATGTAACCAAAATTTTTTGATTCCTTAAAAGTTCTCCCTCATGAAAACTCATTGTTCGAAGCAAGCAGAAGGTTATCACTAGAAGAATGAAAATCTCAAAATTGCCAGCAGCGATTCATTTTACCTGCAAGACGTTCTACCTTTGCCGTATCTTCTTTGGTTTTATCACTCTCTTATTCTTAAATTTGTGTTTGTTCTATTTTGTCAGGAGTTTAAAAAATTCTGTCATCGGAAGCAATCGTCAAAAAGGAAACATGATTGCTCAAGGAGTCGTTACAAGGCTAATGCAAATTTTAGGTGACATTGGTCTCAAAGCAGAACTAAGGACAGAAGCAGCCTTTACATTGGGGTCATTAGCAAAAGGTTCTGAAGCCCACGTTGGTGAACTCATCAAAATAGGCGTTGTACCTCTACTGCTCGATAGTAAGATTATTTATTATTTTACTCATTATCCCTAACTGAAATTTTTAATAACCTGCAATCTCCATTTGTTGCCATGAAATTTGCAATGTAATGAATCCGTTGTATGATCCAGGAATTACCTTAATATTAGGTATTCTCAAAGTAAATTTTACCGAGAAGCACCTTTCTATAAGCTGAGATGCTGAAAATAGCTTTTTTGATTGAAAAACATATTCTTAATGTTCCAGTAATAAAAAAACTATTTCTCTTCAGCTTGAAGTTTGTGACATCTTATGAAGCAACAACTCATGATTTCAACCACCTCAAAGCCAATGTAACATGACTGCTGCACCTGTGTAATTCACATCACAAAAAAAAAGAATTTCACTCTTATAACAGAAAAAATATTCACTTTAAACAGCAATGATACTGCAAGTTGGTTGACATAACCTCTCATCACAACTGAGACCTGAACATAAATGAACAAACGTGGATGAAAGGATAAATTGGTGGTCAATTCTTCTTGTAACGCCACAAGATCTGTTGCCACTTTATTTTTCCATTCAAAATGGGACTAAATTTTCGACAGCTTTGGAAGGCATGTCATCTTTTGTTTAAATGGAAAAAAGAAAAATTGTGGTACTCTCATTTTTTACATTCTCTCTCAAAATTCATTTAAAGAATCATGTTAATTGTTATTTGGTACACTTCGCAGTATTACAATTGTCCAACAAAAAATTTGAAGCTCATACGTGATGAATTGCCTTTTAATTGCATCAACTTGGTGTATAGTACGTAATTAATACTATTGTAGGTATGTAATCTTTGCTGACCCATATGCATCAAGTTAATATTTAGTGCAGCTTCGTTTTCAACACCATGAATTTTCACTCTATCACAATTTATTCTTTTTTTAATTTTTCATTCTTTTGTCAGCTCATTTACTTTTCTTGGTTATAATTTCAGGCATTTTAACCAGTGAGGATAGCAAATTAACTGAAGCTTGTCTGCGGTGCTCTTGTTCGATTTTCAAACATCCAACAGTCCCTGTAGAGCTAGTTTTTCAGAATAGGCAACTTGTATCACACTTACTTCAATTAGCTATGAATTCAGTCCCCAGTCAAATTTGTGTCATGACAATTCTGGCTGCATCATGCAAGGTAACCAATTATCTCACTGAGTCTTATGCATCTGCGATAGGTTGAGCGATTCTTATAATTAGAATTTTATTTGGGCTTTTACATGATTGGGAATAATCAAATATCTTTCACTTTAATAGTGTAAAAAAAAAGACTGAAAGAATTACTATAATTATCAAAAATGAAAAATTAATTAAGGTAAAAATTACTAAATGTAGTATAGAATCAATAAACTACTTGCTTATGTTCTAAACTTAAAGCATTGTATATGCTTGTATAGTATTATCACTTTTTTTTTCTGAAAGCCCTGTCCGTATAAGCAAAAGTTCACAAAACTAAGCGGGAAAGTTAAAGCTGATCTTCTGTATCACTGAATGACAACAAAATTAGAAATTTCTGTAATTTTATTTTTGGGAAGTCAAAGTTTTGCCGCTTATACCAGCTGATAATATTTTTTCTGAATCTAAATTTTTTCATTTATACCTATGTTTAAACAAATTGCAAAATTTGCCGCCATGGGCTGTGGCCCGTGTGGCCCCTCCTAAATCCGACTCTGTTGGAAGAAACTGATAATTGTGTCTCTTAGACTCTCTCCAATCTTTGTTGTTTCTTTAGATAGTTTGTCTGTTGTCTAATATTTTGAGTAAAAGGAGTCGTATTCTTTATAGAAAGTAATTAACCATTGACTCGCATTGATCAAATTGCAAAATTTCAATTGAGCTAATTTTTATAAATTAACCAATTGAATTCATAAGCGTTTTTTATACTTCACCTTTTTGCAGAGTCAAGACAATCAAAATATTTTAAATGATGAAGGAGCTGTTTCGTTGATTGCCTCTCTCTTATGTTCTCCCCACTACGCTGTTATTATGCCCACCCTTCATTGCCTGGCTAATCTCTGCTATCAGAACCCGAATATAGCTGCTATAGTTTCAACAACCAGGTCTGTAAAATTAGCATAATTCTAAAGTTGTAAAAATTAGAAATTTGCTGCTTGTAATTTAATTTAAGACAACCTCTGTAAGGGATTGGAATTTACAAGGATGCAGCGAATGCAGAATCAACAGATTTTAAATCGCTAGCAGTGTTCGGAAAGCGAGAGGTAATTTGGAAAGCAGCACCCTGCCCCCCTCAATTTTGGCGAGCATGATTATGAGAAGAAATAAAGCACAGAGAATTTTGGGTAAAAACTTTGCAACAACAATTTTGTGTGAAATTTTTGCAACTGCTATCCTCGATTGCGCACAAGAATCTAGCGATTTTGATGGAGAATTCTGATTTTGGAATATTTTGTTGCATCTCAATCCACTGGTGAGAATTTCCAAATCCTAATTCTCCAACTGATTTGAAAAAGAGAATTGTCATTCATGACACTAAAATTAATTTATTTCATTTTTTTCTCGTACTTGGAAGACTGTTCTCTAGGAAAGATATTTTCATCTCCTTGTATAGTCATGGAGTATTAAAATATTTGTCAATTTTTAGTCAGGGTTTACTTTTCTGTTTTTTGCACAGTCCACACACTGTTTCACGTAAGTACGGACTAGGAATAGACCAATATTTCAGAATGTTTGAACTCTGCTGAAAGGCAAGAAGTACATTCTGGCTGAATATCAACGAATATTTTAGTCCAAATCTCTTACCTTTTTGTGATTTTTCTATGTAAGAAAAATAATGAGATTGGCTAAAAGTCACATTACCAAGTTTTTCATTATACAAAATTCCAATTTGTTATTGGATCAGTGTGAAAATTCTTTCACTGCTACTGCTGTGAAAATATAAAATCAAAATACGACCCTACCTGACTGCGCTGTGTGGGGCCCGCTATGGTTGTGGAAAAGCCACTCTGACTACCAATCTATGTACTTTGAGACAATTTTGGGATGCATTTTGCATTCTTTTTAAGCTTCATATTGTAAGGAAATAAGAAACATTGCAGTGCTCTTTAGGATAAGATATCCATGCTGGTTGAAAAGCAAATTCCGAGGGGCACAAAAAAAATTGTCCTTTCTGACTCACCCAGAATCCTAAGATTTGCTTTCATACTTTCCCTCATTTGCACCTCTAACCATTGAAATATCCTCTACCAAGTTTTGGACTAGACCTACTAAATACAATTTTTTTTTCTGAGGTGAAATGCCGCTGTTGAACCTTTACTAAGGATGGAATTAATGTTTACACTCTTGTGTATTTTGCTGATTCTAGTTATGGTGGCAAAAGTATCCCAGATTTGCTTGTTCCTTTGATGTCTCGTGACCAACCCTCAGACACACAGTTGGCTGCTGCAAAATGTGCCACAAATCTGCACAGAGCCCATGCACTAAGTGCGGAAGACCCTAGAATACTGTACAAGGCCCTTCCAGTTCTGGTAAGTTCTTTATAATCATCGCACGGTCATAGACGTAATTAATCATGTCAATTGGTGAGCCTTTAACCAATTTTATTAGTCCAGTTTATAATCAATAACAGTTTTGTAACAACACTCCCCTTTGAATTATTTGAATTCTGAGCAACTTTCCACTTTTTTATACATTATTTTAATTAACCATCATAAACTCAATATAATTTTACTGACAATGTCTTTTGCAGGTATGTCTCTGTAAAAAAGAATGTAAATGGGAAGAAAGAGTGAAAGCTGCCGAAACATTGGCATTCTTAACAGAAGTAGACACCCAATTACAACAGTTGGCCTCAATATCCAACCATCTAATACCCACGCTAGCTGAATTCTTGCATTATCGACCGGAAACCTCAAATTCAAGTTTATCTCCCTCAGACCATGACCATATTGCTCGAGAACTGAAACAGGCTGCTTTTCGGGTAATCATCTACTCTTTTCTAAGTTTAAAGTACACCATCATGTACTGAAAGCGTGAACTTTTCCTAGACCTTGGGAAAGAAAAGAATAGACAAATCTGATTCAACCTGAAGTACATCAATCATCAAGTAGCACATTGATTAGCATATAAATTTCTGTTGAATGGTCCATTTTCTGATGTAACCTTTGTCCATGCTTCTCTTTTCCCAGCTTTAGTTTTAAATATTGATTTTATTCAATCAAAAGTAAATATTTAAATACAATTTTTGGGATTGACTCTGCAGCACCAAATTATGAAAGTCAGCTGTCAGCAGTTTGATAACGAAATTATCTCCCACCTTTCAGGCTTTCTCATCACTGGGTGCAAATGATGAAGACATCCGGAAGAAAATCATCGAGACGGATAGCATTATGAAGCATATTGTCTCAGGACTTCAAGATTCCTATCTTAAAGTTCGGCTTGCCGCCATCCGTTGTTTGCACTCTCTTTCCCGGTCTGTTCAGCAACTGCGCACAACTTTTCAGGTACTCAATTTTTCCATTTTCACTTTTCAAAGATTCCTCTTTTTGCTGCTGATAAGGGTGAATCCTCCCTTATTTTACCAGGTAAAGCTCAAATTAGTAAAGCAGTTTACTTGTGAAAATGTTCTCTCAATGCCAGCGAAAACTTGCACTTTTTGATCAGTAGGTATGAAGAAAAAGCTAATTAAATATGTTGATAACTATGTAAGTCCAATAAGAGAAAACATACTATCGTCTCATTTTACTGATTTTGGCCAGAAATTCTCACTTTTATCCTCTTCTCTGTCTAATTTGAAGACTTGTAACGTTATTTTTCTCATGATTTTTTTCTAGGATCATTCAGTGTGGCGGCCATTAATGAATCTGCTTCAACACGCCACGGACGATATTTTGACCGTGAGCGTAGCTTCGTCCACATTGTGTAATCTTCTCCTAGAATTCTCCCCTTCTAAAGAACCTATTCTTGAATCTGGAGCAGTTGACTTACTTTGTAGCTTGACAAAAAGAGACGATCCAGCCTTGAGGTTAAACGGAGTTTGGGCATTAATGGTATGCATGATTTATAATTTGTATGACTTTTTTTATTCAATTGACAACAATGAATATTTCTTTAGGTAATTTTTCAGTTAAGTTCAATTAGGTGCAATTAGTGTATCAGAATTTTATCAATACTGTGCAAATAATGAATACTTCATAGTTAGAATAAAGACTGTTAGAAAAAAATACTGTCAGAAAAAATACTATTAAAAGGGTCTAAACCTAAGAAATCATGAAAATCAAGTGTTCTAATCACCTCATTTCTCTATTTCCAAAATAGAGATTGTAATCCTTGGTATGGGCTTAATTTGCAAAAAAAAAATTGGCTATTTACTCATCATCCATGCATGCAAATCATGCTCAACCACTGGGAATAGCTTTTAATCAAAACCTCATTTGGACTACATTTTGGCGCGTATACGTAGTATACCGCCTTTGCGATCGTTTCGAACCCTGCTCGATACAATAACCGAGTCCCTTAGTTCCTTACCGAAAAGTGACTACCGCGAACTTCTGAGATTTTCCAAAGCGTGTAAAAAGTTTATTTATCCGTCAATAATTATGATTTAAAGTTGTTTCTCATTCTGGGGCTCTCTAGTTTATGTGCAGTGAATACCAAGAGTCTACGTTACTTGGTTTTCTTAAAAAAAGCCTAAGAGTACGACGCGCTGATTCAAAATATGCATATATAAGCAGAATCAAGCGAACTGATTCGAGGATGGCTGAGCAGGTCGGCACTCTCGGAATGAGAATTTAACTCCTCCGTTTTGTTCAAAACGTTGCTTTGACAGATCTCCACACCTCTGTTATACTTTTCAAAAGTTGGTACCCGTGCTCTGATAGTGCTGTTCATCTGACAACAATGTCAGTGTCAGCTGATAATAATATTTTTTTCATATGAGGTTAATAAAAAGTTTTCAGTCAGTCTTTGACATCCTGAATAATTGTCTTGGTATTTATTTACTAATTTTACGGAATTATATTTTATTTCTTATTAAAACTAAGAAATACAGTGCAATCTGTGTAAGTGCAATCTGTGATGAGCCTCGAGACTCATTAGACCATTAGCTAAACGTGGCTCATACAGGAATCCACTTACCCCTCTCTTCCCCACGCTCCTGATCACTGCGTCGGCGTCTCGACGAACGATAGCTAATGACGGTCGCCAAGCTAGACCGGGATCCTCAGCCCCTCGCCCAATTACTTACGCTTCATTAACCATTTCACCGTCACGCTAGGATTCGCCCAATTTTCAAAAAAAATTGTTTCGCGAGTTTTTAGCAATTTTTTCCTTACTCTCCGTTGAAACACGAATTAAAAGAGGTCTCATTCATAAAAATCGGCCGAATAGAAGAGAAGTTACAGTATTCGAAATCCGAAGAAATCAACAAAACTTCTCCAAACAAAAAATAAAATGAAGGGGGGAAAAAAGAAATGTATAAATTACAATTTAATATGATTGACCTCAGAATGTGACAAGCAATTCAACTATAAAAAGGAGAAAAAATTGAGTGAAATTACAAAAAATTAGCCTCTTGCAAGGGGCTTCCTTGTATGAGTTTTGACCTGAAGACAAGTAAATCCCGTTACATTATTAAAACGAAATTGACTCCATAGTTTTAATGCCTTAGTTTCTTGAATACGATTATTTTAAAAAAAAATAATCGAAAATTTATACCAGCAATTTTACCCATGGGGTGATTTCCTGAGAGCTGATAATATCACGAATTTCTCATAGAGCCCGTCAAAAATGGCTTGCTTTTTGGGCAGCCGATTCGGCCATCAAACCGGGGTTTAAATGGAAGCTGATAATAACACAAAGCTCTGAGAAAAATTTTGAGATGAGTATAGGAACGGTTTGTAAATTACGAGGAGAGGCGGGCATTCTGTTCAGCATATCGATACATAAGTATTTTCACACGTAGAATTTAATTTTCACGTCAGGGAGTCGACATATTTTGATTTTTGCATGAAAAGACGTTTAAAATAAAAAAATCAAGACATATTTAATACAATTGCATTTATATCGAGTAAATCTTTTTTCAATAATATAATGGGATTTATAATACCGGTGATTTGGGTATTTTAGCCCCAAAATACCTTTAAATCGACTTTATCTTCTAGGAGTTCGACAGAATTTTTCCTTTCTTCGCTTAAATTTTTCCGTAGCACTTTTCTTCAAGAATCTGATAAGATTTTGCTTGAGGCAGATCAAAAAACTTAAATTTGTTCGAATAGCTTTCTAGATTCACAATACACGGTCTCGTCAAGGTGCGTCGTTGACCTTGCACTGTTGGATCGTGAATTCTCTTGTTGTGCTGCTTGCCTTTTTTGAAATCTCTGTAAATGAAAACTAAAGGAGTTGATATGTGCGACTTAATGACGCGCCTTATCAACACATTGTGTTGGAGTTCACTGCTTGTTGCTATTTGGAACTATAAATTCCGGCCTAGTTTAAAAACAACGTATGTGCCATTAGTATCCCTATGCACATAAGTGTTTTTTCAGATGAGCCAGAATTTATAGATCCAAATTGCAAAATGCAGTCCATTTCATCTTCATCAGTTCCAAAGCAATTGAATTCCGGCCTCTCTGACTAGCGTAATTTCAGTAATGCACTTATCAATACTCCAGAGGCATAAGGTACCTAAATCACATTATTGGAAATATTGAGTCAGTGGAATCAGTGTGGCGGACCAGTGGTTTCTCCTTGAAATCTCAAAATAGCTAAAATGGAATTGGGTACCTGTCAAATCTGGGGCACTGACATCATGTATGCTCTCATATTTTCTATTCTGAAAAAATGCATAATTTTTATAATAAATGTTGTTTTTATCATTTTACAGTGATAATTTGTTTAATTTCATAGAGAATTGGATGGTATACAAATCGTCAATTTTGTAGCCCTAATGGCGCTTTCAATACCACTTATGATAACCATTTCAGCATCACTTTTTTTATGTCCTTCTCTTTTTTATTTTATAAATTCTCCTTGTTTTTCAGAACATGGCATTTCAAGCTGATCAGAAAATAAAATTACAAATTTTACATACTCTTGGTACAGATCAGCTCTTTAGATTACTTTCCGACTCTGAAGTAAATATCATAATGAAAACTTTGGGTTTACTAAGGAATTTACTCTCTACCAAACCTCATATCGATCACATAATGGGACTGTGTGGAAGTCAAATTATGCAAGTAAGTTTATGTTCCGCCGTATTGCTGTAGTCTATACTTAGCTTGAATGGACCATATTGTATGTTATTTAAAATATGAAGGATGTCATCATTTAAATCAGTCAATAAGATTTAATGTTGAATTGTGGTAAAATCACGTCATAAAATTTTGCCAAATCGAAAATGCACACCAATCTAGGTGGTTTTTGAGAGCTTTACCCACAGTTCAGGCTGGATCTTGTCAGACATATGTTCTGAACATTGAACATTGAACCATGTTGTCTTGCTTCTGAAATTTGAGTCACCCAAGAAATTTAATGCAATGCAAGTCAATTGTATTGTGAGTGCAAGGCAAAACTAGTTGCAAAATCATGAAAATATACAGTGAACTTGTTCCACCCAGGCATCTAACACTTCCTTTCCTCTCTAAAAATTGCTATCCTTCTGAAGCTTGACAGTCAGCTTTCTCAAGACGGAAACATATCCATTTATTCTAATTGAAGAGTAGTAAAAATTTTCTTGCTTCTGCTAACATCAACCACAATTTTGGAAGTTAATCGCCAAGTTCTACAACGTCCTGCACTAACCTAACTGGTATACTATCCATTCTAAAAACATCAGTTTGGTTTTGGCACTATTACACCAACACTTTTATTTGATTATTATACTTTACATGTGAAGATTGTAAATCCAGATCTGTGTCTTGTGAATGGAAGTTGATCTAATTATTTTAAATTAAAATGTTTTGCTATTGTTTATATTGTAGCAAATTCTCTGCATTAAAGCCCCAAAATTGGCATCTGCACAGAGAATGTAAAGAGAATCATTTCTGAAACAGGATAGCCAAATCAGCAGTTATGAGAAGTAGTCAACCCTTTTAAGTCACCATAAAAGAAAACGAAACGTGTATCATAAAAATTTTATATTTTCTAGGCTGTAATTTTAATTCTGGAAGGAAACCATTCAGTGGAAGTCAAAGAGCAGGCGCTTTGTATTTTAGCCAATATAGGAGATGGCATTACTGCAAAAGATTATATTATGGCCAATGAAGATGTTTTGAAAAAACTTCAAGATTATATGGTGAGTAAAGAATCTTCATCCGTCCGCAAGTCAGGTTTGTTAAAATGGTGATTTCCTCAAAGATTGTTTTTTATTTTTATTTTTGTGCTACTAATGGTATTTATCAGTCAGTGTCAAACTGAAGGCAGCAAATGCGCAGAATTAAAATTCATCACTTTACAATGATACATTTTATATCTATAAAGATGTTTCCCTCAGCAGGAGACCATCATTTTGGTTTAGCCGACTGCACACACAGCAAATGGGGACCTGCAAGTGGCACATCAATGCCGCTGTTTTGAGTTTTGGTCACTGATGTAACCAATGAGCCACTGGCAGTCACTTACAGGTCCCCATTTACTACATGTGCAGTCGGCTGTCATCAAGATTCTCTCCTAATGAAATCAAGTAGTTCTCCAAGTACCTTAATTCAAAAATCTTAATGGAATGCAGGAAAAAGTCTGCTTACCTCTTTACGGGGATAATAAGAGACTTTACAGTAGTTTAAAATTTGATGACTTTCATTGTTAAGTTAGAAGACTGAGTGACTAGAGCACGAGGATATCCTTGGTTTCCAAACTGAAAAATTATTGGACGAGATGTCATAAAATGATCTAATCATCTGAAAATATGTTTGTCATTAAATGATCTAATCATCTGAAAATATGTTTAAATAGAATATGCTACCTGATGAAATCAAGATTCTTTTAAATCATTTTTTTTTTTTTTTACTGTTTTCTATAACAGAAAGTAACCATAAGAATACTGCGAGATCAGCTCATTTGGCATTCTCAGATGATTTTTGTGCAAATGCTCCATTCTGCCGTCTGAGGTAAAGAATGTTTCAGTAGTGAGGAGATACACTGTACAATTTAACTGCCCTGTGAATTAGCACAATGTCATAGAGCGCTAATGAGCATGATGAATTATCATTCAGCATGATTCAAAGTTTCGACGAAACAAGAAGCCCAAACATACAGAAGAAACAAAAGTATTTAAGTACAAGAAGAAATTTGAAGAAGTTAGCCTGATTTTAATCAAATCTGTTCAGCAAAGACTCTAATGTATTCATAATCCAATGGCGGCAGCTGAAAAAACAAATAGGTTCAAAATGGAAATCTCATAAAAATAGTCTCATTTTCATTCATTGTTTTAAGAAGAGGTTTCAACTTACAATTAAAAATACTTTCTTTCTTTTAAAGTGTCATCCTGAAAATTATTATGTAACATTTAGGATCTTTGCCAATGTTTGGCCAAAATTTAACACTTGATCGCCCTCTAGAACGAAATCCAATCAGTATTAAATACGAAATATGTGACAGTTGATTCAATTGGAATTGAAGTCTAAATGTACTTCTGTTGATAGGCTTTTTATTTTGATTTTCAGTTACATAGCAATGAAAAACTTCAAATAGCAGCAATATTCTGTATTTCAAATCTAGTATGGAAAGAAGACAGCGGCTCTGCTGAAAGACAAGCAAAGCTCAAAGAAATGGGAATCTATGCTCTCCTTCAGCAACTAATAATCACTTCCGATGCTCTCTTATTTGATAAGTAAGTATGACGGTTAACTCTGTTCAAAACAAACTTGTATGTTGTCTTATTCTTTTTGCAGCTTTGACTTCCTTTTATTTTCCATCTTAAATACAAAAATGTTTGAACTTGTACCATTTACCAAACAGCTGTAGTTAGGCTTCAAATGCCAACATAATTAACAACTATTTTAACTTGGAAGCTTTATCATCAACAACAGGCTAAGTGCAAAAAAGTTGATTTCGAGTCATTCATACTTTTATTTTTGACAATTATAGTATTCCATGAATCCATGGTAGCTCATTAAAACTACAAAAGTTGGGTTCCTTATTCCACAAATCTCTTAAAAATAAAAATGGATAACAAAAATTTTCCGACTCTAAAGATTCAACTCCTCTTTTAAAATGCTTTTTTTTTCTTGTACCATTCTCTGTAAATTAACACACGGAAAAAAATGGATTGCTGATTAAATTATTCAATTGTTAAAAAAAGTGACTGCAATGTTTCAAATGTACATTTTACAATAGTGGAAAGCTAATTTAACCACGGGGGTGGTTAAAATACAATTTTTGTATGGTAAAATCTATATCGCAACATTGCAGTCACGTTTTTTAACTACAAAATTGTTAAATCGGCAATTGAATTTTTCCCATGACATACCATCATCTTGTGACCTCTAATCCTAATTTTTTTTCTTTTTCTCACAGAGTTAAAACCGCAATGACTCAATTCTCTGATGCGTGACATGCTGACGCTGCTGCATTATGCATCCATCCCACTTTACTTTCTCCTTCAGCGTGGAAATTACCCTTCAAGTTTCCGTAGTGTAATGAACATCTCAGCCCCTCCTCTGCCAATTGAATATCAAAAGAATGAAGTGCCACTATTTGTTGTGTGTGAAAAATTAGGAAAGCTTGTGAAGTTTCCCCCCTACTTTTTTAATGGTTTGGAAATTACGCCCAGAATTTATTTGAGTAAATAGAAGTCATTATCACTTCCCGGAAAAATATCAACCAAATTCTTGCTCCTTTAAATCAGCAAGGCATCAGAGATTTTTTCATACTGTCGGAATATTTTTTAGTGCTCTTAATATTTTGAAAGCCCTTGTTCTGAAAAAACTTTGCAGTTCAGTTGTACGCAAAACCCATCACTGTTTTCATTTTAATTGCCCCAGATTAAGAAGGCTTATGAATCACTTTCCCCAAATGGATCAATTGACTCAACAGAACCTAATAACTGTATATTTAATGATTTTAGCACTACTCACATAATCAGCCAGAAAATACCAGTGTTAATATCTGCTGGAAGTATCAGCGAATGTAATTTTACCAAATTTCAAAATAAATTTTTTTTCCCTATAATGATCTGGAACTTTGAGAAAGACTGTTGCCTTTTAAATATTTCTATAAGCAGCAATGTGCCTGTTCTTAAAGTTGTTCTATACATATTCCTCATTTCAGTGATCAGTTAATTAAGGATGAAAAAAAGATTTCGACATCTTAAAAATGTCTTTTAAGACTAATGCAGTTTTACCCCCGTGATTTTAGGCATCATTGTGCACTACCTTATTCTCAACTGTCTGCAAGAGCTGTATCTAAGTTAAAAATCTTATGAAGAAAGAATCTAGAATTTACGCTAATGTATCAGTTTGCAATCTCAAGTCTTTGAACTTTCAGCAGATGGAAAAGCTAAAGTAGCCAATAGAAAGAAAATGTCTTCAGGAAAAGCTTTCTAGGTAGCAAAGAGAGCTGAGGAAGATCATGTATGTACCTTAAAGCTGAATCACAAATTAGAAAAATACATGAGTTGATTTTTGCCAAAGACCCTCTAAAAGAAAATTTGACTCTCAATTTGCTCTCAGTTACAGTTACGCTTACTCCTTGTTTCATCTATGTCATCCTGCATAATAGATCTGAGTTGCATGTAACAAAGTTTGTGGGAAACGTACTAATCTTCTATTAATGTTCCGTTTGTAATCTTAACTTTATTTTTAAACTTTTTATTTCATCTGATTTTATTCCATTGTCAAACCTGAGAAACTATACAATTTTCCGTCTTTTTTTCTTTTTCTTATTGTTTAGTAATGTGATTCACACTGTCAGTCTTTAGTAAAAAGAACTTGTCTGTACCCACAACCCAATAGGAAAAACTGTATCAAAATACATCATTGTTTTGAAATTATGCCTTTGTCATTGCTCTTTCACACTTAAACCTATGGTTTCTGAAGATAAATATGTCTACAAAAATCAAATTAAAAATATCTAACGAATATAATCATGTTCATACCAGAATAGTCAAGTTTTTTAGAGCCTTATAAAAATGAATATGCTTCCCTTCAATGACCATTGATTCATTTATATTCTCCTACTTATTTGAATGTTCTGCCACCAATTTTTCACATCATGCAAATTTTAGTACTGGCGCCGTCATTTTGCTGCAAATAACTTCATGTTTTATGTGAAACCGTTCTGCAGTAGGAACAGTTCTCCTCTGCTCCTTCTTGATGGTGAAACTGCAGGAATGCGTGTCTTGTTTATGTTGTTTCGAAATCACCACTTCCATTTTATTTTAAGGAAAGAGAACAACTTAGACCTCATCAGAAATGTTCACAAAATATTCTTCAATCAAGGAGAAATAATAAGGGATGCGTTCAAGAAATGACATTGAGTATTGAGGACAAAAAGAAGTCGCGAACCGAAAAATGCGTTTTTGCAGAATTACTGTCTTATGATAGGTGTAACACTGGCCTACTAATTTCTGTTACAATCAAAATTGCACAATTTTATCTGCAACTGAATATCATTTTGAGGCTCAAATTTGTCCCAAATAAATAAATGCATCTGTAATTAATAGTTATTTGGTTAGTTGGTACTCGCTCCTTTGAATGATTATATATGTAGGTATGCAACACCGCGAACTTGACCAGGGGAAGAAAGGTTAAAATTGAAACGAAATAGTCTAGACGTTTCGTATGGAGGTATGTATATATATATATATAATGCCGAATCTTACAAGGCATGTAAAAATTACAAATCGCGAATTCAGAATTAAATAAATAAAAAATCGCTCCAACTATTTTTCAAATAACTTTCAAATCGCGCCTTTTATGTGCCAACATAATGGTGTTGCCTAAGGTCAGAGTCGTGACAGTTTTTTACTCTTATACGTTTTCTTAGTTTGAATTTCCATTTACTCCTATACTTTTGTTGATTTTAAATAATTTTTTTGAAAAGAAAACACAGCGCAGAGGCCATCATTGAGTCTTAGAATATATTTTTCTTTTACATTCTTGGTTTGTCTAAAACGGCACCATGCTGAGGAGTGAAGAAACGAAAGTAAGGTTATGTTGTCAAATAGAGTAAACAATTAAACATTCCGACTTCGATCACTCTTTTTATGCATTTCATATGTTCTTTTTCTTAGTTCGGTGTGATTTTCTCCCTCATCATAGATTTTCTTTGAATTTTTAGTTAGAATGTATATTCTGTGTTTCTCTGCACGTGCCCATCATATTATCCTCTTTTAACAGTCCATGGAATCCTGGGAAGATACTGAAGATGAATGTGATAACAGCTGTGAAACTATACCTCACCAAAATGACCGAAGAAAGCGGACCAGGAATGAAAATCTTAGTGATGGACAAACAAACAGTAAGGCTCCCCAACAAAGCATTCATCCCTGTCTATTTCCTAAGCTTTCTTTTGTAGTTGTCCTTTGGTTTGAGCGGAACGACTCTAATGAATCCTGTACCTTTTTACGAGGAAAGATTTCATTAGAGCACAATAACTCTGCACACTCTCTTCTATTCATTTGTCCTTATGATCTATTTTTCATTGGTCAGCCTCTTTGGTTTCGGCAAAAATGCAGTGCCTCTAAAATTTGGAGAGAACGTTTGGCAGGTGTGGCATCTTTCAGTTGCAATGAAGGCTTTTCATTATCCATGGAATGCATGGATCGGGGTCTCTGCGTTTTGATACAGGCTAAGATTGCACACAGCTGCTTGCAACTCATGTGGAAAGAAGGACTCAAGTGTCCACTGAAATGCTAGGAGCAGGCTGGACCACGCCAGTGGACGGTCTTTCACTGTGCCAGTGAACAATCCTTTATGGTTCAGATGAAAAAAAACCTCTACTGTGATTGACTTTAACAGGAATGCTCCAAGTTCCATCAAGTTTGAACCCAAAGAAAGAGATTTGAAGTTATATTCCCATCGTAGAGTTAACATGAAGGGCACAGTTTAAATAATGACAAATGTCGTTTTCAAAATATTTTTTTTTCTACTTCAAATTTTTGACAGGATAACTTTTGATGAACTGAGTTCAAAATTATTTCTAACTCATTTTTGTTCAAAATACCATTTGGTGCGTAACTGTCAAACCCTGTCCATTCGAAGACGGATTGTCTATCATTAAGTACTTTTCTTATTTCTCTAGACGAGTATCACAACCATGGTGTACAGTCAATCGGAGATGCTCCAACGTGAAGTCTATCTCTTTGAACGTCTGGATATGATCAGTGCCCGAGAACCAATGAAGTATCTAAAATGCATTGCATTCCTGCGGCCAACGAAAGAAAACATCTCTCTCCTCAGCAAAGAACTCAGGAATCCAAGATTCGGAGTTTATTATGTTTGTAAGTTTTTACAGAATTCAGTTATCTCTGAATTAAATCTTTTACTTACTTCTCTCATTAGCATCCCTTACATTGGGGCTAAGCAAAACTGAATCAAATTAGTTGAGCATTGCGTAGTCATCTCTATGGTGTCCCAACCTTTCCCACTAAGTGATGATGCCCTCATACTTACTGCCTTGAAACGCTTTTCTAATACCAAAATGCTTTTTGAGAAATACCAATATCAATCCTGCATTTGGAACAAATTATAATCAGAAAATAATTTAATTTTCCGAAATCTTGAAAAAGAGATTTAGAGATTAATGCTCAGGTTTCAACTGCTATAAAATTTGTTTTTTGTTTTTTTCAAATTACTCAAAAAGGTGACATTTTGTTAGCTTTATAGTGACATGTTCAAGTTGTGCTCATTTACTGCTCAATTTTTCATTTTCAATTCTTAATTGATAAGGGACTGCAATCATTTGAATTAGTTTCAGTTCTTTTTGATCTGTTAAAAAAGCTCTCATGCAGTCTATTTCACTGATGTATTATTTGTCTGCACAAGGCCTCAAAAGTGAAAAGAACCAATTATTGAGAGGAGTTCTGGAGAAGTAATGAGTTCTGTTGAGTTAATTTATCCAGGCCCTTTTAAAATGATGATCGTCATACTGGTCATTATAATTAGGTATGAATGCTTCCACTGATTAGGAATGCATCGTCTTTGACCAGTTTGATGTCATCTTGATAAAAATGTTTTCCTCCAATTTTTTGTTTGTTAATGTAATTGGCGTCAGCGGAAATATATATAAATAGAAAAGAATAGCATTCATAAGCATTCAAGCAAGTATTAGCAAGTATTAGTATTATAAGCAAGTATTTTTGCTTTAAATATTTGTTCCTCAACCTCTTATGACTATTTTTTCAGATTGGAGTAATATTGTAAGAAAAGCAGATATAAAAACCATAGCCGAATGTGACGAGTATGAATCTGTCCGTGAGGTAGAAGAATTTTATGCTGATTATTTGGCAATTGCCCCTCACTTATTCTCCTTGAACATTCCAGTATCTTATCAAGGTGAGATTATCTTACTGTTGGAGATACTAACTAACACAACCTGTAAAAAGCATGGGTCCTCGCACAACCGAATATCATTTATAGCTTGTTCCAGATTATTCATAATAGAGTATCCAATTATTCAGTGTTGCGATTGTCAGTCTGAATTTTTGAAATTTTTTATTAAGTAATAGGTGGCGTAGGTTATGTTAGCTATTTAGCACCTGCAAGTGTAAATGTACAAAGTTTCAGGAAAATACATTATCAAGTTGATTATTCACCTCCGTGAATTGAGAGAAAGTGAAGTCTTCAGTGATTTGTGCATCAGGCTCAAGTATTTTTCAAATAGAACCAAGGAACGTTGAATTTTTACTTTTTAAAAAGGGAATTTTATAATGGCAGAACTTGAATATCTTGCATCTCCGCCTTGAATTTGTGGCTAATGGGATTCTCCTTGTTTTTCTAGATTTAGCCTGGGACCCAGTAGAACTGCTTCGTAGTACGCAAGGGGTTACAGCTGTGCTCTTGTCATTAAAGAAATGTCCAAACATCAGATATCAAAGCTCCTCTGAAATGTGCAAAAGACTTGCCGAGAAGGTTTGTGCCTGCTGTATCATTTTTATGAAGTAATACCTGTTGGCAGATCTATGTTCCTATTCATGTGCATATTTAATTTTTAGTCGAATGCCAAGTCAAAACCTATGAAAAATAGTCCTAAAATTTGAATTCCATTCCATAGCTTCAGATAACCGTAAATATGAAAACTGAAAATCAATCAATATACTAGTATTAAAATTAATCGTGATAAAAGTATCCAATTTGTTGCATAGGCAGTTCGTTACTAAATTATTTTGAAAGGAGGACCAGTCTGAGGTATGCAACTTATGATCACATCAAGTCATGGTCCTAGTTTGCAATTTGTGCAACTACAGGATGCTTCTAGCATATTTCAGATAGGAAAAAAGGTGATAGGTCAAAATGTCCAAAACAAAATGTCCAAAAGTCAAAATATCCAAACCCTGAATGCCCAAAAATTTAAAAAGGCCAAATATTAGTAATGTCCAGCAGACAAATAAGTCCAAAAGTAGGCAAATGTCCAAATGTGAGATTAGGCATAGGTTGAGTTGTCATTGGATTTTTTGGACCAAAAAGTTGCTACTTATGACCGAGGAACATTGCCAAAGTTTCAAACTTCTATCTCAATTAGGAAAATAGATACAGGGGTGGTAGGTGACTTTTGGATAACCCTGTACATTGACGTTGCTTAGAGCGATCGACTTGTGCTGCTGACACTGATTCTGACGAAGACGTCTGAAATCAGTCAGTATATATTTACTCTTTCCATTAATTTGGACATTCGCCTACTTTTGGACTTATTTATCTGGTGGACATTACTGATATTTGGCCTTTTCAGATTTTTGGGCATTCAGGGTTTGGACATTCTGACTTTTGGACATTTTATTTTGGACATTTTGACCTATTACCAGGAAAAAAAGAAGAAAAAAAACAGTATCAATTGGTTTTTTTGTGTGTTCTGAATTCAGGTGCGAGATGTGATAGTGACCGAAGAGTCTCTATTCAATTTCAAACAAGATGACATAACACCTGTACTGTTAATCGTCGACCGAAGAGATGACCCCATCACTCCTTTATTGAATCAGTGGACGTATCAAGCTATGGTTCATGAGCTCCTTACAATTACGAATAATCGAGTAGATTTAAGTCACGTCAAAGATATTTCCAAAGATTTACGGGAAATCGTCCTCTCACCAGAGCATGATGAATTTTATGCAAAAGTAAGTTGCTCTGCAAAATTTATTGGATTTTTCCTTTCAATTGAACTTAAACGTAATTATTGAGCCACCATTAAGGTCAAGTTTTTCTTCAGCAAGCTTTCACCTACATTTTAAGCCAGGAATGGGTTCATGAAAACCGACAATCAGCCCCTCTCTCTCTTTTTTACCTAGTTACATTTTCTAAGCTTACAGCTAAACTCCAGAAGGTGACCTGAATTTTAAAAGAAACTTTGATGACTGGTGCGCCTTGGTTCCCTCAATCTGAAAATAACTTTGGACAAACCTTTAAAATTTTTTAGGTCAAAAATTCTGGTTTTTTTTCTTTTTAAGAAAAGCTTAATCTAAAATGAGATGAACACTTCTTGAAGCGTACGATTTTGAAAATATTTTTTAGCTGTTTCCAAAAATATTTAAAAACAGAGCAGTTTTAAACGGACTCAATTTTGCCTCCTAAAATAAGCTTAGGGGTGCACATGTGAATTTAAATCTAAAATAATCTGGCATAAAGTTTGTCAAGTCTATCAATTCTCCAAAAATTCCCATCCATCTCTTATGAGATCGCAATGACACACTTACTGAAAACACTCTATCCGCAGACTAGTTTCCAAAGTACTATACATCTTTTTAATTTAATGTACATACCTAACACCTGTTTCTATTTCTTTGCAGAATTTATATTTGAACTACGGTGAGATAGGACAAACCATGAAACAGTTGATGGAAGAGTTTCAAAGGAAAGCTAAAAGTCAGCAAAAGGTTGAAAGTCTAGCAGACATGAAAAATTTTGTAGAAAATTACCCCCAGTTTAAGGTAATCTCAGTGCATCTATTTGTGGTTAAAATATCTTACCAGGATTTGATCATTTTTAGTCAATTCCTGTTTTCATTTTCTAAAACACTCTTTCTACTTAAAAAGAGAACACTTAAAATTATGTGTGTAAAGGCTGGAACTATGCTCGTATTCGTCGAATTTCAAGTGTGCATCTGAGCACTAAACAGTGGCGCTATAATATGGTTTAATTACAGAATAAAAAAATTGATCGAATTCACACTCAGAAAGCACCGTGCTCATTTCTTTTGCTCTTCATTGACGGCAACCTTTAGAGGTTTTTAGTCTTCAAAATCTTGGGAGTAGTAGATTTTTTATCATAATGGGTCAGTTGCACAAGTCAATTGTCTTTTGATTATTTCAAATTGTAGATCAGCTAAAAATAGTAAGATCTGTCCAAAAAACAAGTTTCAACGTCCAACGTTACTGCATCATCCACCACAGTATGGTTTCTTTGTCCTTGGTTTCATCCATTTTAAAGTGCAGCAACAAGTGCAAATGTGTGTATCATCAATTGATGAATCCAAATTAAAAGGAATCGTAGTATGTTGCACCGCGTTGGATAATGTCATACACCTATGTTTTTCAAAGGGCGATATTTCTGTAAATGTTAGATTTAGAAACTAGGTGTTTGGACACCCTGTATATTTTTGCTAATCTATGAGCATAAACTATCAAAACAGGATTCTTTGATCAGCGCAACTAGCTCACTCCAGTCAGGGCTTAATTTTGTCCTCGTAAGAGTTCTATTACAGGGTTTTTGATTTTCTGCCCGATCATTGCCTGTAGAATCCTCTATCAATTATCTTTTCATTTGTTTTTGGTCACAGAAAATGTCAGGAACAGTTTGCAAACATTTGGTGCTTGTCAGTGATTTATCCAACACAGTTGCAAATAATAATTTGCTGGAGGTTTCGGAGTTAGAACAACAACTTGCTTGCCAAGAATCACACTCTTCGCAGCTCCAGGTACTGTTACATGCCACAAAATTCTTTTCCGCTTTTAAGTCGCAACACTTAAAAGTAATACGCCTTACCTCATTACCCTTTGTGTTGAAACCAAAGCTGAAATTGAGAAGCTATAACAATAAATGCAAAAAGTATTTTCCAGATTAAGTTGCTAATCAAAGTTAGGAAACTCTGCAAACACAAGAGAGCTATACATAGACGCATTTATGAAGGTGACTTGTCAGTTGCTGTTTAAAAGCATTAGTATTATATCAAAGGATATGTCGCAGTTTGTATCCTCTTAAAATGCATGAGCCAGAGACATCTACAGCAGAATTGGCGATTTGAGAGTTGCCTGAGTTACTACATCCTACAAGCTTTCTTTTGTAAATTCGGCAAGAAGCTACAAAATATGTGGGCATGAAAGGGTTCTCAAACGTCATCAGAAGAGTCTACTGATGTTGTGGTGCAGAAAATAAGCAGTTTCGATGAAATGAAAACTAACCTCTAGTCTCAATGCCTGCTCGCACAGCAGAAGTTGTTTGTATCAACATCAAAATACGTTGTTAAAAAGGTATAAAATATTAATAGTAAAATAGTTATACTAGTATGTTATAAGAAAAATGTTTGTCTAAGTGGAGCATTGCTTTGAATCTTTACCTCTGAAGAGGAGGAAGCGAACTGTGTACCTACATTTCTTACATTAGTTTGTATGTGTTTTTGCGTAGGCTCATCAAACGGACGTTGAATTTCTAAGTGATTAATTGGACAGCATCTAACAAAAAGGAAGTTTATGAGATTAAAGTCTGCTCAATCATAAATAGGTTCAAAGAGAACCCATAGTAAAGAATAATTCTCTCGACAAAGTTTGGCGACTAAATGTTTTTGTGCTTTTAAAATTTTTGCCATGAAACAATATGATTTGTAGCGGGTCCAAAACTACCATTAATTTTTTTTTTTTCTCTAAAAAAGAATGTCACTATTGGTTCCCTTCATTAAATAGTACTCCACATTGTCTCAAATAAAATTTTTATTTCTACAGAATTTACGAACGCTTTTAAACAGTGGAAACGTTAGGCACAAGGATGCCACAAAACTAGTCATGTTATACGCACTGCGGTACGAACGGCATAGCAACAATGATATAGACGGTCTCCTCAATATTCTTAAAAAGAATAGCGTACCTGACTCATTTATCAAGGTAAAGTAGTACATAATTACAGAAGCAGTTATCTCTGAGGATTAGCCAATGAGCATTTGTTCTTGACAGTAATCTATCAGTAGGTAGTATGCAACTTTTTTTTTAGATTCAAAAATACAATTAAACAAGTAATGATTTTTTACATAAAGTGGAAAAACCAATTGGTGGATGACTTTTTCCATTGTTTTTTCTTAAATTACGTTAATTTTGACATTATGTATTCTATGATTTGCTGATGTTTTCAGTTGTAATTGGCCTTTCTTATAAAGTCTCACTCCATGTTGTTAAACGCCGTACAAAGGTTGTCAGACACTTCCAGGAAGAATGAAAATCTTTGGCAGGTACCCTTCACAGAAACAGGAAGTGTAAAAAAAATGCTATAGTTTGAAAATCGATTGGTATAAAAGAGTGTATATTTTTTTCTTATTTTCTTTAACTGAGGGAGGGGGTTGCACACCCTGACTTAATTTTTGAGCACCATGGTCTAGAGGTGCCTAATAAGAGGGACTGGTAAAAAAAATCGGACTGAAAGCTAATTCGATTATTGAATGGCATCATATCTCGGATCCACTTTTCCAATATTTTAGTGTTGTCCGTTTTTTGTGCATATTTTCTATTGAGTAGGCTGAAATTTATTTATTCTCTGTTGATAGATGATTCCACGTATTTTAAAATTCAGAAGTAAAAACTCAAGACTGAATGAAACGTTTGATACCCAAGAGGCCGTTGTAAAGATTACCAAACGCTTTTTTAAGGTATGTACCTCCGCTATACAGCCCAAGCAAACAGATTAGACAGAGTAAAAAAGCGCTTTTTGGGGCACCCATTAAATTTCATTGTCTTATTCTGGTACGGAGATGCTGGCTGTAGTAGCATCTCTCCTATCGTGTCAATAACAGATTGGTTCATCCCAATGTGTCCCTTTGTCAACTTCATCTCTGGCTAGTGGTTGCAAAAAATTTGCCCGATGAATTTTTTCAAGCCCTAAAAATCTGTCTTTTTTTCACAAATTTGGATTCTCAATCAATTCGCAACACCAATGAATAATATACCTGTATAATTACTAGCAAACAGTGGCAAGGCGTGAATGACCAATTATCGATTTTTCCCCATTTGAAGCCATGGTAAAGAATCGATTATTAAGGTCTTCGTTTTGAACACCCTGTTTATCAATCCTTTTCCATAGGTTTAAATGGCAAATCAATGGATATATTGCAAAGCATGCCACGCCACTGCTAACCCAACCATAAGTATCTAGACTTTTTGGAAAACTGCCAATAGAAATTAGCAAATTTTGTGATACAACTTAAGTTGCCATTAACCATATAAAGCTCCTCTGACGGTGTGGAACATCTATACTACATATATGTATATTACTCGAGGATGTTTAATGAAAGTGCTATAGTCCATAGTGGAGTCACAGCAATGTTGCTAGAATTGCTGTCAGTGGCATATTAGGTAATACCGCAGTAAATTTGATATGGATATCCTTGTTAGATGGGCAGCAGCCCATGTTGAAGATTTAATTGTAAAATTCCTTTTGATTCATGTTATGCTAGTTTCCTACCTTGATAGATCTGGGACAATAAAGATTTCAAAAGAATGTATACATCCAGTGTCTTTCCTAAACAACGGAAAAGTTTTGAAGATTTCTCTTGCTTCTCATCTCACATTCTCTAGATGGTACATCCATTTAATTTTCTGTAAGATTGTTTTGTTTTCCCCTTCCTTCAAGGTTTTGTTGTTGTTTCCAGGATTTAAAAGGAGTGGAAAATGTCTATACGCAACATGTACCTTTACTAAGAGAAACCCTTGATGACTTAATCAAAGGTCGGCTTAAAGAGACAACTTTCCCCTTCTTGGGAGAAAACAGTGCTCAAATATCAAGACGGTAAGTCTTTTTAATTTGTGTCTCAGCCTTTGGACTGATATTTTTCCTATGGGTCCAAATCCAAGTCTCAAGAGAAACGGAAAAAAGTGTGCCATTTGGCGTGTCTTTAATCTTTTGAGCCAAGCCTCAACAGGTATTCTTTAGACCCATACATGTTTTGGGCTCAAGAGAAAGAGCGGATGCTAAATTTCACAGTTCTCCCTGTGTTCCTTGAAAATTGAACAATGATGTATGGGCTTTTAGAAAAAATATTGGTTTATTTGTGTTTTCCTGCAGTTTGTCTTGCCTCAGGAAGTTAAATTTTTTAAACAATTTTCAATATGAATTATTTTCTGCTTTGTATTGGCATTATAATTAAAGGTTTCAGAACTATTCATTACCAATGCCCAGCATTCTGGACTGGGTTAGCTATTCTGTTTGTTGCTTAGCAAAAACGGAAACTAGGAATATGGAAAGTATTCGCAGTTTTCCCAAAAAAAATTTTCAGAATTGAATCAATTTCAAAGCGTTAACTAACAACCAATAAGTGGATTGATTTTTAGGCTCTCTTTGATGTTTAATGGTTAAAGTATTTTTTCGTCAATCTCTTTTCACAGGATCAAAGATGTGATCGTTTTCATGATCGGTGGAGTTACTTATGAGGAAGCTCTTGCTGTTCACAATATCAACTGTTCTCATCAGAATATTCGAATCGTATTAGGTGGAACAACCATTCACAACTCTGCCAGTTTCTTCACTGAAGTTCAAAATGCTACAGCAAATCTTCCCACGACAAGACATGATAATCGTAGAATATAATAACTCATTCTGTAGTTGTGATGGAAATTGAAGGCATCAACAGAATTTTATGTCAATCTTGCTTGCTGCAAGAAGCAAAGTTCAAGCTTAACTCATGTTAGAGTGTGAATCCTGAATCTTGGAAAATTTAAGTTTCACTAAACTTCGAAGGTTGATGTGTCCAGTCATGAAATCCCAATTCAATCAATACCTGGCTGTGACTTTGTGTTTAATCTTCTATTTGATAACCAAGACTTAGAAAATTCAGCTCATGAAGCAAGATTTTATGAAGTTTATACATTTGATCAGTGAACACTGATTTGTGAAGGACTTATTGCTATTTGCTGTTTTTTCAACAAGAGAAATTTTACCAAAGAACCTGTATTTCATATATTTTGTTTTCGTAAAATATTCATCCATGATTGAGCCAAAGATTTCGTATAATCTTGACTTAAGACGTACAATACTGCTGTTGAATGAATTTCGGACTTAGTTCAATTCTACAGTGAAATTGCAGGGACGTGTATCTCATTTGCGGTGTTTCAAAATCTTCGCTTTCACTTTATTTCATCAAGGGTGAACAAACCAAAACTGCTTCTTGATGTTTCCATTGATTATTCTTCTCACAGAAAAGAAGAATTAGGAAAGCTTTCAAGAGATGACTTCAAGTACTTTTCTATTTAAAAAAATAAAGTATGACAGGAAGCCTGCAATGTTGCAAACGGAGATACGCGCTCCTGCAGTCTCATCGCCGAATTGCTATCTTTTCTTGCAAATGTTAAAAATCTGGTTTTCTTCCATTCAACATTTCTATTTTGTGCTTTCTTGCTCAGCTGAAGCTAGAATTCAACATCTCTCTTCTATTAATGTATAATGATATCGAGTTGCAGTATTTAACATGATTTGTTACTTTAAGTTATGAATAGAAGATTGGCTATAGCACTCCAGACTATGGCAGGCTGTCTCAATTATTACTAGAATAGATGTGTGTTGAAAAATTGTCGCACATTTAATGCCCTCAGTTTGTATGTTGCTAAAATAATTTAAAATCATCATTGTAATCGCTATTCCATTATTTTTTTCTCTGTTTTTTTATTCATTTATTTTTTGTTGAATGCATGTGTAAGCACCATGAATCTCAATGTAATCTTGTAAATTACTGCAAATGGGTATATTTTGAACGTCAATATCATCTCTCATGAAGTGTTTAAGGCTACAGGAAAGCATCTCAAGAACATGTCGAAAGCCAACTTGATCTAAAAGGACTACGCACATAATATCAAGCAATCCAGCTTCAGCCAAATTTTTATATTGTTCAATATGATGTTCCTCACTACCCTCTCGAGCTTTTTGACAAGCTTTTATAATCAAACATTATTTCTGCCAATAAGGTGGAAAGTAGAGTAGATCCATGAATTCTCTGGATTTCTTACCTGCATTTTCTTATGGAGGTGTGGGGCTGTTGATATGCGTGGGCGGATGCTGCTCTGTACTCAGTTATCATTAGGAGGAATTTGATTCTTTTTAGCTCTGTTATCCTCTTGACCAGAGAAGGAACAAAAGCTACCTTTGATCACTAATGTTGCAACATTTTTACTGGATAATGCGTCTAAGAGTGCTGAAAAATTCACATTTCTTGCAAGGCACACAGTAAGTTTGATTTTCAAAGCTTATTGTGCTCAAGAGATTCTGAGGAACATCATATCAAATAAAATCTAAATTTGGCCAACGCTGCATTTTGTGGTGTTAGTTGGACCACATCACCAATTGCCACATTTAATTGGGCAATATAATTTTTTAAATGTAAATGGTTGTACAGATTTTTGTGCAAATTTCAGTGAATTTTCTGCATATTAGGAAGCAAACTCCGTAAAATTTTCAAATGAATCCGCACAATCGTTTTCATGTAAAAAATGAAATGACCCGGTTAAATTTGGCAATAGCTGATGTGGCTTGGTTCCTTTCTGCTAAGCGCAGTCCAGTTGTGTAGTCCATTAATTATTGTTCATTCGTTTAATTTTTTTTAATGCTCATATCGTTATTTTACCGCCTCTCACTTCACCTAGAAATCTTGTTATCATTGAACTATTTTATCTTAAGCCTATGGTAGGAAACAAAGCATTTTCTGTTACCTATCATGTAACATAAATTATTAATTTATCGTGGCTTTTCATACTGTAGGAAAATATAGTAATTGAATTGTTATTGTGTTGTGTTCATTCTCTTTTACTATGAACTTAGGGTTGTCATAAATCGATGGCCGAAAGTGCAAAACCACATATCGCGTCTGCGATGTTACAAAATTTCCACTGCCATTTTTTTAAAATGAGAGACGAGCTAAATTTATAGCTCGAATTATAGAATATTCTGCTGATAGAGAAGAAAAATCAAAGAAGTTTTCAAGATTGACTAGTTTTCCGAAGAAAAAATAAATTATGACAGGAAGTCTGAGCATTCGTGAAAAGTGCGCAGAATTTCTTTGTCAAATTGACTGTCCCCAAGAGAGAGTAGTATAATGATTTTGCAAGTACACTAAATAGAGAGGACTTTATATTCTCTAAGAATACAATAAAATACTGAAGAAGTTTCTTCAAAGGAGATAGCTCACAAAATGTTCGCAAGATTCGTAAGGGTAAGACAGTGGGGAGAGCAAATTTTTACCTCCTTAGCAATTGATGACCACCCTCTGATACATGTTCCAGGATTTTTAACACCTCACGGATAAACAACGCAGACAATTTTTAAATTTCTTCAAAATTTTCTACCTATCGCAACGAGATTCTGAACCTGTACCCTTATCGATTCTCCCGAGTTCAACATTTGAAAGTGGCGCCAAGTCGTCTGATTGGTTGTTGATTCCAGCCTCAGAACCACTTTACCAAACCTCACAAAAAAGCTAAGAAACCAAAAATTGTCTAATTTATTGTAAAAAATACACATGGAGCCTGCAGAAATTTTAGTTTTATTGCTAAAAACGGTTTCATGATGATGAACTTCTACTGAACGACATCCGCATGAGATAAAACGGCATTCACTTCTGTGATCCTAGGGGATTTTCGTATGGTGATGTATGGGTACTCCTGCTTGCGCAAGAGTTTTCGGTCAAGTGAAGTCGAGAAGAAGTTTGGAAATCTGATGTGAAATTTTACGTCGGTCTCTGTATTTTTCCGTTAAATAATTACTATTTGTCGTTTTTTCCCTCCATACTTAATCTTTTAATAGACGGCCGCAGTTACCATACTTCGCCGCTTTTATTCTCCCGTAATAAATGTGGTGAATTACTGTGAAATTTTATTTATAGCATGGCCTTAGGTTCTCAAGTGGAATCCAATGATTACGGGACTATCACCAAAGAAAACACAAGTGAGTGCACACAATTCTCTTACATCTACAATTTGTTATCTTTATGCAGCTGCGGTAGCGATATTCTTTAGATACCTAATCCTACAATTCCTTAATTTTCTCGTCGGCAGCCGGAAGAACCCGTGCGGCCGGGAGGTTGTTATCATTCATCCACACTAGCCATTGTTTTACTGAATAATGATGTAATCTACTCCTTCAACCATGTGCACTTTTCGGCATTTTTCGTGAAACTCATGATCTGAAGTTACATTGAGCTCTTAAAGGTGGTTCTGAAAGGAAACTTCTCTAAGGGCTTATTTTTACCGGAAACCAACGAATTTTCTCAATTCCACCTCTCATGTCTTCAGCCACTCTAACCTCATTTTCATTCACTCATCTTCACCTTACATTCCCTCTTTCCACCCCCATAAAATTCCAACAATCCAAAGATTTCCGTGTACTGGTTAGCCTTGTAAAGTATTGCCTCAGTGCTGCAGTTCTCTAATCTCTACTGCCACTGCAAGATAAGACCATTTTCATGTTTGAGACCTCGGGTGCGCACCATGTGACCTTCAACCTTTAATTTCTAAAGTTATCTAGGCGGTGTGCTAACACCTATTCAATTGCTTGTGTTGCAATACTTTCACTGACCAGTTGATCAAAGGGCCATTTTGCCATGCCGGGAGGAGAAACACCATGAGTTCAGCACGAATTGAGGTTGGGAGAAGTCAAATCCTTCTTGAACATCCAATGCCCATCCTCATCCAGCTAGTGAGCTAGCCCTTCCAAAACTACCTCTCCCAAAATTTCCAAGCGTCCATCGGGAATAATTTCTGACTTACCCGGAATTGAGAAAATCCCATTTTAAAGTTCTGTGTTTAGGCTGTTTTTCACTTGATCTTACCTGTGTTTCTCTGAACATACTAATATTTCTCCTGTGTCAGTCCTAAATGGTAGCCAAACACTCATAAAAGGTCCCAAATATACCTATCTCGGTTATAGGTCCCTAATATATCTCGGTTGCGACTGATTGTGAGTTGGAACCTTCATCAGCTTGTTTTTTCTTAACCTTTTTCATTGAATATTCCTACTGTTACAATGTAAATAATAGTTTTTTTTTTTTTTCTTATTTTTTGTTATTAAACAACATTTTAAATGATGATACTGAAAAAAGGTATTATTGCATGTACCCATTAAAAATGATTTTTCATATCCATGTGGAGTAGGCTATAATTGTTCAGTAAGTGCGGCAAAGAAATAGATTCGGATTTAATTAACTATTTTCAGATTTGATGCCGAATGTGCTCTATTTCTATCTAGAATATTGAGTCCATATTTGAAGCCATAATTTCTACCATTGACGATGTCATAGGCGTTAGTAATTACTCACTCTCTTAGCTAACTACAGCGCTGGCAAACTTCGTCAGTATCTTCCTCAAAGGTGCGATTTATCATTATCAAACGAAAGCGTTAGTTTACAAACACTGTTCCATGGAACTTTATGGAACCCTTGTGTTTGGAAGGTTTTGGCTTTTGTTGCGTCAAATGATGTAGAATTATCTTGTCCTGGCTGAAGTTCAGTTATTTGTTTCTTATTTTTCCATCTGAAGGACCCTTTTGCCTCACTTAATTACGTATTGTGTACCTACCATACCAGTTTTTAGTCAATTCACATTTTAAGAATTAACATGATCAGATTGAGGTTCAACGCATGAGTCATTCAGACAGAGCATTGGTGATTTTGCCTTTCTCTTCTTATGCCTTTCTTTTCGCCCGGGTTGCCATCCTCCTCCCTCCCCTCTTCCCCTTTTCCATGAAAAGTCAGCAACAATCTTTGAATTTGCAGGGGAAGGGGGGGGGAATTGATCTCACACCCCCCTCCCCCCCAGGGATCCTAATGTTTAGTTAAAAAATGAAAAGCAAAAAAAAGTTCTTCCCCACACAAGAAAAAACATACAACAACAACAGCTCCAGATCAACATCTTACGCCAAAGTGTGCGCAGAATTATTATAGAGTGTGAATTTCTTGTGACTGCCTCCCACTACTGGCACACAAATTATCTGAGCCGCGTGCGGCCTAATATGTACGATACTAAAAGAGAGAGCTTTTCAGTCGAACTTTTTCTCGACTCTACGAATAACCCTCCTCTGAAAAATTTGCCCTCGTAGGGCCCAGCTTTGTTTTGACCTCAAGAATCTACTCCCGCAATTTTGCCTCTTAATCCTGAGACACCCTGTATTGTTACCTGTGGGGAAAGTCCTAGGGTTTTACAGAGTTCACGCGATTTCCGGAGAGATAAAATACAAATTTTCATCCCCTCCCCTTCCCCCGCAGCATGGGAGTCCGGAAGCTGAAATGGGCTGCACAAGTCCATTTACATTTGTACTCGGGGCCTCAGTGGAGCTTTGCCTTCCAGTGATTGAGGGTTTCAACCGAAATACCCACGGCGAAGGCCTCCCCAAACTCGTCTTATTTTACCGACGGACGTCGCGTCGCGCCTTGCGCGTGCGTTTGAATGTCGCCGGTGACCGAGTATCCCTCTCCGTGTCACTCGAACCGCTTATGAATATGGATGAAACAAACGCACCGTAATGAAACACCATTCTTAGTAAAGCAGACGGTCTATCCTGGATGTTTCAAATTCGGTTCGTCCGAACTCCTTTTCTAACTTTTACGTTCGTAGACTCCAAACACTGGAGAAAAAAACACATTGGATCTAGAGTCCAGACTCTTGAATACATGGACATGAAAAAAATAATACTCTTGATTCAATCAGATTTTTGCTTCGATCAAAAGGAAATCCGCTCAAATTAAGAGGCTTGGTTCTTGATCTAAGCAAAAATCCGATTGAATCAAGAGTACTTTTTCTTGTCGATGTTTTTAGGAGTCTGGACTCAAGATCCAATGGGGGTTTTTTTTTTTTCTTCTCCAGTGAATCTAGCATGCTTTCACGTATGCTGGGAATTTTGAAATAGCCAATTGAGGAGCTTTCTGGAAAAAGGGCACATAGAAAAAAATCGCGTTGGAGAAAAATGCATTTGGAGCCTCCATCATTATTCTATGGCCACTGATTGTGACTTACGTTCTCAATCGGGAGTCCAAGCAGCGATGTAAGTTACCATCAGTGGCCAGGAAGTAAGAATGGAAAATTAAAATTATTTTTCTTAAACGCAATTTTTTGGTATGTGCCCTTTTTTCGGAAAGCTCCTCAATCCTCGGCAGTGCCGGATTCATGCACTTTTTTCTGGTCAAAGATTGATCCGATCGTGAGCAGTTCGTAAAGCAGGGTGTCTACAAGTCCAGAATTTCCGGAAAGCCCGGATATAGTACTGATTTTTTAAGGGCGGTCCGGAAGTACTGAAAAAGTATGGGGTTTCGCGAGAAAGTCCGGAATTTTCGTCATTTTTGTCGCAATTCGAGCGAGAAATTATTTTTCAAAATTTTCGTATTTCGTCAATTTGGGGTACTGAAAAAGTACTGAATTTCTCTTATGAGGAGATACTGAATTTCTTGGGAATGGACTGTAAAAGTACTGATTTTTGGCCAGCCTGTTTTAGTAGACACCCTGGTAAAGGGGGGATACCCTCAAAGGCAAAGGGGGATCTGGAGGCTGATCTCCAAATTTAGTTTAATTTAGTGTCTTTTAAACGGCATTTTTAGTATATTTAGTACTCTCCGGTCCCATATGTTTACAAAAAATTTAGTGGAAATTCACATTGATACTGACTGTTTCAGTCTTCCCATTTTCCTAATTGGTCTTCCACTTTCGAGTACCATTTTTTCCTTAAAAATTTCAAAGTGGTGTCCCGTTTTCTCCCCTTCACGTAGACAGTGTCAGGGGTGCAAAAACTTGTCGACCATACGACCAGTTGGTCGCTTGTGTAAGTGGGAAAGCCCCGAAAAACGGTGTTTTCTAGTGGGAAAGCCGGGAAAATCGGTTTTTTTTTCTGCGAAACCGCTGTTTAAATCACGTGTTTTTCGCGTGATCACGGCAATTTAAAAGCTCAGATCTATATGAGAAAATCATCTTTTTGAAATTTTTTGGTGAGAAGGGTTTTGAAGTGGGAAGGCCAAGAACTTTCTGCATCTTCGGACAAGTGGACACTGTCGCAATTCTGCGCAATTTGTACGATTGTTATCGCGGTTACATAAGTAACATGCGATTCGCACCTTGATTTTGTGGTGTTTCTCGAATTTTGAGATCGCATTCCTGTTTTCAGGAGACTAAAGAATTCACTCTTCAATTTTGACAAACAAATTAAACGTGTTAAAGGCGTGGTTTTTTTTAGAGAGAAAATATCGCATTCGAGTGCAGTTTCGATATCAGTAATGAAGGCGACAATTTTCCTCTTTAAAAAACCACGCCTTAATTATGACGTCAAATTTTTTTGTCAAAATTGATGAGTGAATTCTTTAGTCTCCTGACAACAGGATTGCGATCTCAAATTCGAGAAAAATGACGAATGGCTGAAAAAATTGGAACCAATTGACGCGATATATCGCATGTCGTCCTGACGTAAAATATGATGTCCATCAAATCACCTTTAGGCGTGGAGATAAACCATTTAGGTTTGAAAAGGTCTGCCGCGTGAAAAGATGAGAAGGCAAAAAGTAGAATTCGATTCAAATTAATGTATGAGAGGAGAAATCAGCGGACATGTTGAAACGTTTCATCCGCGTTTCAATGCCCCAGGTTGCAACGGGCATGGTCACGTTACATCCGCGAGTCCATCATCACAGAGTCAGAGAAGTAATGTTGTAATGATGCTTTACTGCCGTGCTCAGGAAGAACGCCGTATGAACATTCGAGAGTTGCCAAATTTCCTTCAATTAAATGTTTATTTTTGAGGAACTTTGTGAATATTTTTCCTTGAAATTTTCAGGTGCTTTAGTTGAAATTAGGAATCAAATTATCCGAAAAATTCGAAGGATAATAGTCACATAGGTTTACCAGGAAATTCGTGTTTTATCAAAGGAAATTTGGCAGCGCTTGAAGGTTCATACGGCGTTTTTCCATAGC